AACATTTGCACTGTGATTGGCTGGCTACAACTACCCCATAGTTAAACTGTTTTGGTAATTGGTACTGCCAGCAATATTAGCAAACATTGCAACTTTACTGCACAAAAGGCATCAATTATATATCTACAATCCATAAACATACAGTTTTTCTAACATTCATTATGTGAAATTAATTTCTTATGTTGTGGCAAGTTTATTGAGAAATTTGTGTTTCATAAATAGATATCCCTACTATGACTGTGAAAACAATGTCGAGTGCCACATTGGTGTCACAGACAGAAAGCACACACCTATGCAATATGGCTTACCCTATATTTATTTGTAAAAATTCAAGCATAGTTTAAATATATGATGCCAATATTACTAGTCTTGTGTGTCTAGGAGAGTTCTTTATGGTTATTTCAGGTAAGTGTATAAAGGAGCTTAAGTGCTTTTCTTTCATCACTTATTTTAAGATCAACTACAGGATATTTTTTTATTTTATACATGCTGTTTTTTAATTAAAATATAATCACTGAGAATGAAGTTTACTAATTTGATTTTATAAGATTTGTAAGCGTTACAGAATAATTAAACTGGGATTTATAAACCAGCTGTGATTAACAATGTAAAGTATTAATTACTGAACTTGAATCAGATTTTTTGAAAAATATTAATTTTTTTTTTCCTTTTGTGGTCTTAACGAATTTGAATCCCTCAAGAAGGATTTTCCCACACTAGTTTTTGATTAGAAAATAATTTGGGGAGGAAGGATGCATGTATGAATACTCCATAAATTAAACATTCTTTACTACATACAGATCATGGGAAGGGAACGTCTGGCCCATGAAATCATTTGGCTTGGCCCTGCCCAAGGTAACTGCAATTCCAGCCATCACATTAGGGGTGACTTAATTAAGTGTTTGACCAAATATAGCAAGCTGATTTTTAAGTTGATACTTTTGTGTGGCCCACCAATGATGGTATAAATTTTGGCAGAAAAAAGGTTCCCCGCCCCTGCTATAGAGGATAAATGATTATAAACAAGATCTATCTTATATTGTATTCATATGCTGAGCCTTGGATTTTATATTTAATATAAGATTTTGGATATCCAATTAGTATTACAGTTTCTAGCTTAAAAGAGCTAGGTCTAAGATTATTCCCATGAAAAGTTAGATTTTGAGACTATGAAAATGGTTAATTTCTCAAATATAGCATCAGTGACCAAACACCTACTTTTTTCCATAGGAGTAGACACTAACAAGTTGGACAAAACAATCTTAGAAGTATACGAGTGTCCACATACAATGTGAGGTCTGTTGCTGATGAATACAGTACTTGTGATTCTTAACCACTGTAGCACAAGTGTTATCTCAGTGGCTTATCTGGAGGAACATCTGGAAGATGGGTTCATCTGTGTTTGTGTTTGCTCTTTAAAACACTTATTTTTCTATGATCCCAAGTTGGCTTTGCATCTATCGAGTAAATCAAGTCTTCAGCTGCCTTAATAGGAGTGCTAGGAGGGTAATGCTTTTTCTGCTTTTCATCTTGTATTTAGTTTAATGTATTAAGATATTTTATTTCAGATTAAATGAATGTAAATAGAAATTAAATATGAATTTGAATGAACGGAAAACTGATTTTTTTTTTAATTATCCTAAGATAGGACGAAATAACAATATATACATCAGATGCATAGATGGTTTAAGTAATTATTTTTCATTAACATGTCAGCTGCATCTAACTTCTAATATTTAATAAGTTACTTAAAAATGTGAGGAGTGACTGTTATAAAACAGTTTCTGCTCAGAAACTAAAGGTATTATAAGTCATAGTATTGATTTTATATACTGGATGTTAATCCATGATTTCTACATTATATGAAATTGCAGGCATGAATTGGTTGCTTAAAGAAATGTTCACATGATAAATTATATAAAGTTAATCTCACATGTAAGCACTTAGAAGACTTTCTCGTAATAACATGTTCACTATGGTTTTCAAATATATTTGAATACTTTATGTGTACATGAATGAAAGTATCATGCACAAATTTGATTTAATATCTCAGTAAATTTAGTGTAAGTAAGATGTTTTACATCATATGTATAAGCCACCTCTGTGGTAATTATATCACACTTGTTAAGAAGTCTTGGTGTGGCCCTTAGGATAAGCTCTAGATTGTAAAGTCAGTGGTTCAAGCCTACCTCGGAAACCATATTACAGGGTTGCTATGAGTTGGAATCGACTCAGTGGCACTTAACAAAATAATTCTATATAGAAGTTCTCAGACCGACGTTACCTTTTTATGAAATAAAGTAGCATTCTCACTTCTGGGAAAACAATCTTTCAGAGGGCATTATTTGGATTCACATATTTTATTTTTCAAATCTCTATTTCCTTTTGAAAGGAAGGGAATAAAAGGTTGAAATAGAGAAATGCCTCCAGTTCTTTCCAAGTTGTGATTGGACAGCATAGCTTTGTTATATTTTTCTTTTGCAATTCATCTGTGAACTGCTTTCTTAATTCATTTAAAACAACAAAACAAAAAACAGCTGTCCACAGTGGGTCTCCTTTGTTATTAAGTATATTAGGAAACAAAGCTATCCAAATAAATAGATATGATACAAAAAATCCGTTGCCATGGGGTAGATTCTGACTAAGTGACCCTGGTGGACAGAGTCAATCTGTTTCTTAGGGTTTTAGAAACAAACTTTTACAGAAGTTGGTATGGTAATAGGGCTTTGGTAGCATTGTGGATTAAATACTGGGCTGTTAAAACAAGGTCAACAGTTTGAATCCATCAAAACTGCTCCTCAGGAGAAAGAGTGGGCTTTCAGCTCCAGTAAAGATTTCCAGCTCCCAAAACCCTACATAGGGTAACTATGAATCAAAAGCGACTCCATGGAAATGGGTTAGCCAAGTGGTAAGATGTTACTGGTTTTGAACTAAAACTCAGCAGCACTTTTTTTTTTCCATAGCCAAATTCTAATCCCAAATTGCTTTTACCTACCTGTCTCCTGCTATATATCTAACTATAACTATTAGCTTCACCACAGTCAAGAAGGTGATTTTAAGAGGAAGTACACTGTTCTCCTTATTAGTAACAGTGTTAAGTATTCCTGGCTGTCACATGGGAGACCTGGGTTCAGTTCCCCAACAGGAGGCAGACACCCTGGTGTGGCGCTGTAGGATCAGCATTGGACTGTGAATCCCAAAATCGATAGTTCAAACCCACCAGTTTCTCCTTGGAAATCTTATATAGGGTTGCTATGAGTCAGAGCCTATTCAATGAATGGCACGTGACAACACTGGTTTCAGTATTTGCAGTTGTTCCAAGAAGCAGCTGGTGGGTGTGAACTGCCAACTTTGCAGTTAGCAGTCCAGTGCTTATCATACAGTGCCACACCAGGACAAAAAAACCTCCCCAAACCTACTGCCATCAAGTCAATTCTGACTCATAACAGCCCAGTAGGACAAAGTAGAACTGCCTGCCTGTTAGGCTTTCCAAGGCTGTATATCTTTATGGAAGCAGACTTGTCACATTTTTCTCCTATGGAACCACTGAGTAGGTTCAAACCACTGACCTTTGGGTTAGCAGCCAAGCACTGTACCACTGTGCCATTGGGGCTCCTCAATGTGAACAGCAGAGTTAAATATATCATCACAGAATAAATAGAAATAGTTGTGTGATTTCTACCAGTAGTTACCAGGAGAAAAAAAGCTTCCTGTTCTTTATCAATGTTGGTGGCCAGATAACAACATGAAAATGATTTAACCTGTAGGCTATTGGAAGTTATCCCCATTAATCCAGATGCTGGTTTAGCCTTTGCTTTACTAACTCGACCTCTTAACTTCTACAGCCTTACTGTGTACAAACTGATAGATGGTAATAAAGAAAATGGGCAGAGGACTTGTGCTCTAAACTTAGCTATAATCAGTGACAGCCCTTCAGAATCTGTTGTAGATATCAGGTTCCTCAGTATTATCAAAGAGAAAATGCCTCATTCCCTTTTCCACAACCCTGGACAAATGCCCCAAAGCCAATAAACCAGTATCCAAAGCACACTGTGAATGTAATTTTAAATCTTTTAAGTAATGGAGAATCAAGCGCCAATGGTGATTCCAAAATGTTTCTGGACAAGACTATTGACAATGAGAATTCTAAGAGTTTAGGGAGTTGCTAGACTATTATTCATATCTGTAGATCCAGCTGTTTGTAATCCATGTGAATTAGTACTATTTCAAGATAGTCCGTTCTTGTTAAGTGCTGTTGAGTGATTCCAACTGATAGCAACCCTGTATAGGGTTTCTGTGGAGTGGCTGGTGAATTTGAACTGCTGACCTTGAGGTCAAACCAATCTTGGTACTATATCCAAAATAAGATCATGAATAATGAAAACCAATGGCAGAATCTGCATATGAATTTAAATCATTTATTATCACTGATTATTCATTATATCATGGAGATTAATACAATATTAAAATACATCATCTTCAGTAAAACTTCATTTTAAAAATCTGATTGTTATAGGTGTAAAATACAGCATTTAGAATTTTCATTTAAAAATATAAATTTTATGAACTTTCTTAAAATTTTTGAATTATAAAAGTCAACATTAAAGAAAATCCTAGTTTCAGATAGGGAGTATCTTAAAATATTATGAAAAAAATATTCTTTATGCTTAAACAATGTAAGGAAAGAATACCTGAGTTCCTTTAAAACTGTTAGTTCTAGTTAGCCAATTGATATTTTGGTAACATTAACAAGAAAACACATATTTTAACACTGCAGTCTTATGTCCAATAATTTCAAGAAATGCTGGATACACACATTAGGTTGAGCACGACTTAACATATTTTTTAAAGCATAAGGTTCTTTCATTTTGCTAAATTGGACTATGCACTTAAATCTTACAATCTAAAAACACTTGGGAACACATTTCGCTTAGCTGTGAAAACTTATTCTAATGCCTTTAGCAATGGTCACGTTTTGCAGCTTCAATAGTTTATAAGACTTAATATAGTTGAAGGTGTGAAGAAGTGGCTCCATCTTTCCATTTGTGTATATGGTCTGATACTACAGTTCTGCACAACGGACATGTTTTCTCTCTGTTAAACCATAAGGTAATGCATTCTTCACAGAATATATGCTGCAAATGAATTAAGAAATAGATTTTGTACTTGATTAACATTTTAAATTCACATTGCACAGAATCATACTTTTTTGAGCTGAAAAATTTGGAGAGCACTCACTATGGATTGGAATCGACTCAACGGCACTTAACAACAACAACAACCCATTTATAAATGACACATTCAAGGACACAAAGAGCAGGTTAGAAAGTTAGTCGTAGACCCAATGCCAAGTGTTCTTTGACTGCACTATATATATTCAAAGGAGTCTTTGAGGTCCTGTAGGATCAGCACTGAACTGTTAACCATAAGGTCAGCAGTTCATACTCACCAGTTGTTCCTCAGAAACCGTATACAGAGTCCTATCAGTCAGAACTGACTTGACAGCACTTAACATTTACATTTAAGACAGCCTGCATGGTTCTGTAGGATAAGCACTGGACTGCTAACCAAAACATCCATAGTTCAAACCTACCACCCCTTCCACTGGATAAAGATGAGGCTTTCAGCTCCTGTAAAGATTTACAACTTCAGAAACCCTCAGAATCAACTTGATAGCAGTGGGGTGGGGGGAGATAAATGTCCTAAGTGTAGAAAAAGGCCTTTTATTGGTTTATTCTAAAAGACTTAATACCAAATTATAAGAAAATAGTCTGTTTTCCAATCACTTTGGTATCTAATCTTCCAGTTGAATTATTTTTCCCTTCATACATTCCTCTGCAAAAAAGCCATCACAATATGAGGCACAAATCTACGAAAGTACTAACACTTGTATGTATCCTGAATGCTACCTTTCACTTAACATTGTTGTGTTTTGTTTTCCCTTATAACTAACATGAATGTGACTTTTGTGAGTTGTAGAGAAGAAATGTTATACTTAGCTTGTTTGAAAACATAATTACCTGACAGATGAGAAGAATTGGCTTCTGAAATTCAGCTTGACATATTGAGCAAATATCATCCATTTCTGAACACTGTCTCTTGCTGGCAGCCACACCATAACTCTATGAAAATAATAAGTTTTACTCATCTACATATTTCTTTCTTTCCTGTTCCTCAAAATACATAGGTGATGCTCTACTTCTCAAATCTCCCTGGAACCAGGCATTTGAAAACGTTCCCAAAGGATACAAACATTTCAAAGCTGAACCACATAGGCAGAACCACGTCTTGATGGATTGCAAGAGGTGAAATCATTAAAACAATATGATCTTGGAAATGTTAGAACAGTTTATTCCCAAATGATGACTGCTTCATCAACACAACTGACTTTAAAAGACGAAGCAGTCTGAAGTATTACAAAGCCTACAGGGTTGCTATAAATCGGAACTGACTGAATAGCAGTGGGATCATAATAAAAGGGGGCTTCAAAAAGTTCATGGAAAAATGGAATAGTGACAGTAGATTTTTTCCACAAACTTTTTGAAGCTCTCTTGTATTATATGACTCAGTACTACTAAGTTGAGCCCACTATTACATACATCTGTCACTGGTTTACATAAAGGTCAATCCTTAGGCATATACTGTGATACAGAATGTTACAGTCATC